CCCCCCCCCCCCCCCCCCCCCCCCGGCTGTGGGTCACCACCTCAGGCACACCCCTCAAATGAGCGAGCCCAGGTGCTGAGGTCAGGCCTGGGTCTGCAAAGGGACAAACTCCCCTCAGTTCAATCCAATCCTGGAAACCAGGATAAACCACGGAGTTCATTGCTCCTGCGACGTTGCTGTGGGGCAGGATGCTTGTGGTCCTCTCTGGAGGCAGCTGCAGAGAAACTTTGTCCTGCTGCTTGCCTTCCTCTGGTGTCGCCCCGCAGCTCTGGGGGAGAGAGCTCAGAGCAACCCAGCTGGTTCCTAAAAGGATACTGTCTTCCTAGGGATCCCCTACCGAAGAGGCTACCTGCTGTATGGTCCTCCCGGCTGCGGGAAAAGCAGCTTCATGTGAGTATTGCCAGCTGGCTAACAGCAGTTCTCCTGCCAGCTGCCTGCTCTGGGGCACAGCAGTCGCTGCTGAGAGGGTGTGGATGAGTTTGGGTTTGAAATGCAGGAGTGGGCTGTGCCTCCTGAGTGGTGCCTGGTGTCAGCGTTCACGTTGCTGGCACCGTGACAGGTCAGGGTGATGAGCCCTTCGCGCCCTTGCTTTGCACAGCGCTGCATGGCACCAGTGGGCTGAGCAGGGACTCCCACCTGCCTCCCGTATCTGTTCCCCACTGGGGGAGGATGCCTCTGCCCTCTCCCCTGCTGCTGGGCAGGGAGCTCTGGTTCTTCCTCTGCTCTGGGCTTTCTCGCTGTGATTCACCCCTGTGGTTTGTGTCCTTCCCAGCACAGCCCTGGCTGGGGAGCTGCAGTACAGTATCTGCCTGCTGAGCCTCAGCGACCGCAGCCTCTCCGATGACCGGCTCAATCACCTCCTGAGCGTGGCGCCGCAGCAGAGCATCATCCTGCTGGAGGATGTGGACGCTGCCTTCGTCAGCCGGGACCTCGCCGCTGAGAGTGAGTGGTGCCCCCATTCCTGGGCCAGCAGCGGAGGGTTTGCTGGCTGCGCTGGGGGGTGGTTTGGACTCTGGGCTGCTCTGCCACACCAGCAGAGACCAGGAGTGGGCAGGTCTCTGGGGCCTCAAGGCCCAAACTGGGCCTTGCCCAGTTTTGGCTAGGCCATATAAAGAGAGATTTGGGTCCTTCATCCTCAGGCAAAGACACTTCTGCCCAGCTATTTTCAGCATGAGGGAGGGGGTGGATTTCCCCCTCATTCTCTTTTTGGGTTCCCAGGGTGCGGGTGGGCGGGGGAGGTGAATGTGCTGCCAGCCAGGGAGAGGCAGAGGGTCAGCCTCAGGGGAAGGAGAGAGCGGGGATCTTGGCTTAAGCCTCGGGTGATAGGGAGGTGGCCCACAGGACTGCACGGGGTGAGTGGCCAATGGATATGATCACGGACACCTCCGTCCCCAGACCCGTCTGTGTACCAAGGCATGGGGCGCCTGACCTTCAGCGGCCTCCTCAACGCGCTGGATGGTGTGGCCTCCACAGAGGCCAGGATTGTCTTCATGACCACCAACTATGTGGACAGGTTAGAGCTGCCCTCTGGGAGGGAACAGGGAGGGCGGCATGGGAAAACCTTGCTCCCCTTTGATGACCTTTATGGAGAGCTATTTGCATCCTCCAGCGTGAAGACTGGGGGTTCAGGTTTCCCAAATCCTCCCTCGGGATGCAAATCCCTTGATTGCTAATCAGGATCCCCTTTGCTGGAGCCCGAGATGCTTCCTTGCTGTTCAGACCATGGTTGTGCCCTTCAGGAGAGGTACCAGCTTCCTGCCCGCGGGGATCTGCGGATTTTGGGGTTGTGGCCGTGCTGTGAGTGAAACGCTGGCCCCGCGCGCAGCACATTGGGTTGGCAGGATGCAGCCTGGGCTCATGGCACCTGGCCAGACGCTGCCCTGTGGCGGGCTTGGCTCGCTCCAGACCGAGCTGGCCTGGAGGGTTGTTCAGGGGTTGCTCATGGGACAGAGATGGGCAGAGCTGTCTCCCAGGACACACTTCTCCTCCAGAGCCAGCCCTTCCCCAGCTCTCTCATTTCTGTTAGATGGATTTCCGCCCCTCAACCCTCCAGGGACAAACTTCTTCCCCACCTTTACCATCCCACAGTGCAGAGCACCTTGCAGATAGGACACTGGCTGTGCTAGCGTGGAGGGGGGCTTCCTGCAGGACCCACCCTGCAGGGGCACTTTGATCAGGTTTTCAAGGCACCCCCGTGTCTCTCGACAGGCTGGACCCGGCCCTGGTGCGCCCCGGCCGCGTGGATCTCAAGCAGTACGTGGGCCATTGCTCCCCCTGGCAGCTTGCCTGCATGTTCCAGCGCTTCTACCCTGAGCAGCCCCCGGCTGCAGCTGAGCAGTTTGCGGAGCAGGCGCTGGCAGTCTCCAAACAGATCAGCGCTGCCCAGGTGCAGGGCCACTTCATGCTCTACAAGATGGACCCCGAAGGAGCCATTGCAAACATACACTCCATCCTGCTGTGACCAGGGGCCAGCTTACCCCTACGTCGCTGTGAGGACTGGGACAAGGACTTGACCATCCCGGGGATGCCATGGAGCTGCGCAGCCACGCAGGCCAGGTCTCTGTTCACCTCTACCCCTCCAAGGCCTTGGCTTTTTATTAAAACATGCGGAGAGTCAGAGCTGCCAGCCTTACAGCAGGGAGAGGGGATTGGCTCTTGCTGCTCCCCAGACTTGGGTGCTACTGCACTGGCCCCGCTTGCCAGCTCGTGCCTCCTGCTGGGATTGCCGTAAGCTGCCAAGGCTCCTGGATGTGAATCCCCTTCCTTATGGGGCAGCCCGGGGGTGCCCCAGACGGGCATTTCCCTGGGGCAGGACGTTGGGGTGCTGCACTGCTAAAGAGCTGCTGGTCTTTGAAGGGAGAACGGTCTTCACTGGTGTTTGAATATCCTCTGTGAATTGCACAACACGGCTCTTGGCTCTCCAGTCCCTTCGCCTGTTAGTTGCCCCACTAAGCTGCTGGTCCAGAGCCCTCCTGACCAGGGCCTGGCATGGCCAGTACCGCAAATCCAGAGTGTTTTCAGAAAAAAGCAGCTCCCAAGAGACAGCTCGTTGTCCCTCAGGCTGCAGGCTGGTGCCACAGCTCCTGCCCTGCCAGCTGCGATGCCAAGTTGCAGATCTGCTTGGACGTCGTTCCTGGGTGGGCATGACTGTCCCTCCTGCCAGAGGAGGAGATGCAGGGTCCTGGAGCTACTGCAGGCCTGCAGGTGGCTGCAGACGAGAGGCTTTGGCTGGTTACAGAGTATCTTCCCAAGAGCTTGATGTTAACCCCAACATGAATTTCTGCAGCCAGGCCAGCCCAGTGCGAGGTGCAGAAACGCCTGTTGGAGGTGACTATGCCTCTCCTTCCAGCAGGAGCGGCCCTGTGTGGCTGAAAGAAGGGATTTGGCCAGCTGCTGGCAGTCTCACAGCCTCTTCCCTGTCACTGGGCTTCCTTCCTGCCAGGAACAAAAGTCCTGGATGGGCTGGTAGAGCCACAGGTGCCCAAAATACAATCGAGAAGCGGGCAGGCTCTGTGCCTCCTTCCCAATGCCACAGAGTCAGGGGTCAGGGTGTGCGTGCTGACCCACAGAACGAGCCAGCCAGAGCCTCTCCCCTCCCTAGTCCTTGTTTCAGAGTCCTGAAACCAGCTTCCCCAGAGCCAGCCCCGTGTTCACGTCCTTGTTTCAGGGGCTGCATCACCTTGGCGGGGCTGGGGGAGCTGGTTCTAGGCCAAACCCAAATTGTTAGGTCGCTGCTTAGCCATCCTCTTGGCTCTGCCCTGCGGGGCCAAGGGCAAAGCCGAGTGCGCGGGGATACAAAGGGGCCCAGCCGATGCCACCTGGCTGAATTTCAGCACAAACAGGCGCTGCTTTGATGCAACCCCAGACTTGCACAAACGTTTCCACAAGTGAAGGGTTGATCCTGTGGCCACTGGGCGGGTCTCTAGTGACTCAGGGTGGCTCCTGGAGCAGGGTGCTGCCGTTGGCATCTCAAACCCTGTGCTCAGCCGTCCCGCAGAGGCTGACTGCTTGGTTCCAGCCTCTTCCCTCAAAGCTGGGGGTCAAAACTGGCCAGTGAGTGACTGGTGAACACTTCACAGCATGCTGTTCAGGAGGATGGGGGAGTGGTGAGGGAGAACCAGAGGGGCCCGATGCCACCACAAGAGAGCACAGGCAACATCTGTCACTCTGCTTTTAATAGTGTTAATGCTACAGATGCTGCCAGTACCCTTCTGCCCAGCCCGAGTGCTTTTGCCAGTTAAGCCTCACAACAGCCCTGTGAGGTAGGTGGGTGATACAGGCAGACACCAAATGAGGAGCCCCAAGGCGCAGGGTGCAGGCTCTGTTCCTCCCTTCTGACCCGGAGGTTTGTTTTGCTTAGCCCAAATTCACTTCCACGTGCTGTTGCAAAATCCTCTGCTCCAGGCTGACAGCAGTGAGTCAGAAAGGTGAGGGCCCTTCCTAAATCCCTACTCCCAGGAAAAAACCCTCCCCTCTAACATGTGTGACATTTGATTGAAGTTACTCAAGTCCTCGCTCACTCCGATTCCATGGCTGAACTCCAGTGCTCCAAACATCGGGCACAGCAGTCTTCCTGCTGAGAGTAAGCCTGGCTCACTGGAGGAAGCCAAGGAGCTTCAGCTACTGCGAGGGGCAGAGATCTTTGTTTCTTTCAGGACATACCAGATGCGTTTCTTGGAGCACAGCAGTTTCACAAGTGAAGGCAGGAGGCAGCAGAATAAGCACCAATAAATCAGATAAAGTTTACACCTTTTCACTGAAGTGTGGACAGGCCGTTCACCCAGAAACCGGCTGGAACAAGGACAAAGCAAGCACTGAAGAAAAATTAGGGCTCTCTTCAGGGAGCAAGTGCTCAGCCCTTGTCCCCAGCAGGGCACAATGTCTGGTGCTCAGATCCCCAAGCCCAGGACAGGTAGTGTAGGCTCAGACCAAGGAGGGGAAAAAAAACAAATGCTTTTAGAGCATTAGGGTTGAAAATAGGCCAGTGTTGGAAATTTAAGCATGGAAGGTTCTTGGGCAGTGGGTTAAACCAACCCCTTCAGGACAAGGCCAGGTGTGGAGAGAGCAGGGCAGCAGGTGAGGAGGGCCCATTCGAGACAGCTTCTGTGCACCCTTCATGTGCCAAAGGATCAATCGGGCAGATGCAGCACCAACGCCCTCCTGGCCAGCACGCAGCCCTTGGTTTCCTAGGGATCTCACCCGAAGCTCTGGCAAGTCCATTGCAGCACAGCCATTTTTGCACTCAGCAGGAGGAGAAACGACGCACGTGTGGCCAAAAGAGAGGTGAGGGGCACAAGGCACGAACAAGTGTGAAGGAATCAGTACTGTCTGGGTCAGCCAGACAGCTTACATGGAGGCAGGCAAAGCAGGGACCGGGGAGCCCTCCTGCCACGCCGGAGTGCCAGGGGAAGGTCTCTGCCCTGGCCCTGGCCCCAGCCCCCGGTGTAGAGAGCAGGGAGGGGAATGAGCAATACCAGGGATCAACACCTTCGCTCCAAACAGCAAAGAACAGGAGTGAGAGGGCAGAGAAAACAAAGGGAGCAGGCTCTGGAGAAGGCCCAACAAATAAATTTAATAGCAGTGTCCCATTTCAGAGGCTTGAGATCGCCTGTCACGGCTCTGGAGTGGGACACTGTTTACATCTGTGAAGCAGCAGCAGAAGGAACCGCACCAAGTTAAACAGCAAATCCTCATTTCTTTGAAGCAAGATCAGCTCGAAGATGAAAGGAGGGTAAGAGTATCCAAAGTATTGGGGCATGTCTTCACGCCGGGCTGTTGGGAGCTCCAAGAGATAGCCTAGCCTTAGAGGGGGATCCCAACAGATGCAGGTCGCAGAGCAGAGTGCTCTTCACAGGTGGAGACTGCCTGCACAAAAGCAGTTGAAGGACAGGGCAGGAGCTCCAGCTAAATTCAGCCTTCCTGGAGGAGCAGAAGCCAACCCAAAGCCGCAGCCACCAGAGAGCCCTGACCTGCCAATGTGTTGACTTAAGCTTAATTGAGCTCTCCTGGCTGGGACTGGGAAGTGTCCTGTCATACAAAGGACTCACCTGGCCGAGCCCACCAGCTGAGCAGCGGTCAGGGCTGCGGGAGAAGCGATGTTGTCTCCCAGGGACAGGGACAGGAGTTGAGAAGGCGCTCTGAGAAGGACTGGGGGACACAGCAAGCTGAGCTCCAGGCTGCTGCCCTGGCACAACCTCATCACTTGGCACCACCACAGCTCCGCTGGTACGCTGGCTTCCAGGGAAGGTCCTGCCACAACTCTGGCTCTGCCGTGGCACTGCACTGGGCTCAGTCCATTTGCTCTGTAGGTATGCACATTTCTTGGCAGCTCACGTACAGGGATGATGGCTGCAGGTCCCCAGTCAAGGCTTCCTCTGCCCCCTGGGTCCTCCGAGACCAAGGCTGACATGATCTCTCAGGAGTCAGCTTCTCCAACGCTGGTGACAGCCAGTCGCTCACGCCAGGATGCTTCGCTCTGCACGTGCCCTGGAGACACTGCCTGTCCCAAGCTGTGCCACATGCCAACTGCCTCCTCCCTCCCAAGGGGTACGGTGTCTACTTGCTACTGCTCCACCAGAGCCTTCACTGTTCTCCCCAGAAACAGCCCTTCCCTCCCCCAGCCCAGCCCCTCACCACTCCTGCTAGGAGCCACTCTCTTTCTCAAGGAGATGGGCTTCTTGACGTCCACCGGGCCTGAACACCCCTCGCCCTCTTGGTGCTCTGGGGTAGGAACCATGCTCCTGGACCCTGGATCTCTCCCACCTCCCACAATCCCAGGGCCTGTGGTGGCCCTGCCAGCTGGGAGCTGCTCTGTGGTTGCTGCGGTTGAACGCCAGGTTCTCCTTCTCCCTGCCGTGGGCCTCAGCCTCCTCCTCCGGGGTCCATCTCTCCACATCACGGTGCTCCTCTTTCAAGTCCACTGCCTCTGTTACTGGTGAGGGGTCTTCAGGGCACAACTCCTTTCTTTCAGCCAAGGCAGCAGCCCTGCTTCTGCTGTGAGGCTTTGGAAACTCCTGGCTGTGCCTCCTACCAGGTCTCCGCTCTGGTCTCCGGCTAAAGCCCCTGGGCCCCCTGGAGCCGTGGAGCAGATGACAGGCTTCCTCTGCCGGTTCCTGCAAGCTGCTGCACGACTGCCTGCCCTGGTCTCTGGGGCCTGGCCTCTCCCCTCTGTACCTCTCCCTCTTGCTCTGTTGCTCCCTGGGCACAGCAGGCCTCTCGGGCCGCCCGGGTTCTGCCCTGGCCTCCGGCGCCCCGGCTGGCTCTGGAGCCGAGGCTTGGCTGGGCGGCTGGGGCATGTCCACAGCGCTTGCACTCACCGGTGGCTCAGAGGCAGCGGCTGCTTGGCTTGGATCAACAGCAGCTGGAGGCTGAAAGAGAGAAGCCACTGGTTAAGAAAGGGACAGGGCAGCGCCACAGCCGACGACAGCGCTCAGTCCTGCAGTCCAGGGCCCCCCTCGCCAGCTCTCTGCCCCCGTGCCATACCGCCTGGAGGCTGATGAAGTAACGGTTCCTCTCTGCTTCAGGGTCAATGATGCCCCCTTTCTCTTGCTGTCTCTTGAAAATTAAGCGCAGTTCTTCTTGGTGCTGCAGCGTCTTGGCATCTGGCCTGTACGGCTCCTGAGCGGCAGAAAGTGAGGCGGGGTAAGGGCTCTCTCAACACCTGGCACGGGTAGGCAGCTGGCAGTGCTAAGAGCTACTCCGCAAACCCTCCTTTGATCACACAAGGGACACAGGATACAGAGCTCATTTCATGGTCTAGGAGAAGAAAGCTCAGGCCTATACAACTAAGCCTGCTCTTTGTGGACACATCAATCAATCAGGAGACACCCTGCTAGGTTTTATGAACTGCCCTTTGGATGGGCTGCCTAGGAGGACCTGAGAGCATGCAGCGTCTGTTCACTCATCTGTTATATTGTCCCAGTTGAAGCTACCCAGCGAGCGGGCGCAGCTGGGCAGGTGAGCCCCCACCTCTTACCAGCGGGTGCTGCGGGGGCGGCGCTGCCTTCAAAGCACAGAGATCGTAGACCAGGGTCTCCCGGCAAACGGGGCACTGCACACCGACTTCCTGCGGGGAGGCGAGAGGTGATACCAAACCCCAGCCACGACCCAGCCCACGCGCTGCCGGATAATCCCCAGCCTGGAAGCGGAACAGGGTGGCCTTCTTTTCTCTTCTGCCAGGGCAGTGAAAGCCAGGGGGGTTCCAGCAGCATGAAAGCAGTCTGGTGCCTCAGTGACTGCTACGGAAGGTGTCTCCACCACGAGGCACGCCGGGATTTGTGCTCCAGCGGCTGACCGCTGTACAAACCACCTCTGTCAGCACATAGGGCTCCAGTCCTCCTTAGCCTAGGATCTATTTTTCCCCACTCCAAAGTGGAGCGTGTCATCTAGGCAACGCCTCTTTGAAAGGGTTTTGCAGGAAGGAGCCTTTGACTTGTTTCACACTCAACTGTGCTGTTTGCTCTGCGGCTGACAACTGTTCCAACACCTGCTCAGGCAGGTTTTATCACCCCAGAACGCAGGTGATCATGTTTATCCTGCCGCACACCCCTGCAGTTCAAGGACTAGGGAAGGAGCTCTCTCTTCTAACTCCTGTGGTTCCAGAAGTCCAAAAATGCTACCAACTCCCCTGCCCCCTCACACAGCAGGCCCTGACCCAGAGATCCAATAAACCAACTGCTAAAGTACTAAAAGCCCACAGGGTAATTTTGGTTGGAAGGGGCCCTTGGAGGTCACTTGGTCTAATCACTGCTCTGATTCTCAATGCAGGCACGACACTGACCGTGCTGCCAGGTCAGGCTAGCCCTCGCTCCATGTCCCAAAGGGGGTGACACAGACGTCATGAGGGCCTGTGCAGGGGGCGGGGGGAAGAGCCCAGGGCCCGGTACCTGTTTGGGGGATGGCGCCAGGTGCTGCTCTCTCTCCTCCTGTTGCATGAGGATCTCCTCCTCCATGTGCTGGGCGTAGCGGGCCAGGCAGTGGGAGTGGAAGTAGTGGTAGCACTTGGTCTTTGTGAAGGCTTCTCTCTCCTGTAGAGGAGAAAGGGCAGCTTTAAAGGGTTTCTGAGCACAGGGTTGTGTAGCCTCCCCAGCTGAGATGGGCTTTCACTCCCATGTCAGCGCTGGCAGTGGGGAACTAGCGCTATTGCTGGCAGACACATAACATCTTCTGCTGGGATTCATCTCTACCTCCTCAGCTCTTTCTGGGACATTGCTCCCTATTCTGAGAGTGAGAAATACTCCTAATGTCAAGCTGCAAAGCTTTTGTGACTGATTTATCTGCATATGTTCCCATGTAAGCAGCAACCTTCCCACCTGATGTGTTCTTCCCAGGCAGGCACCGCCTCTCCTTGCAACCTGGACAAGGCAAGCTCCCCTGTCCCTGCAGACCTCAGCACCCGCATGGATGTGTTCCAGTTCCTCCTGACTACCTGTGTGCTGAACTCCAGGTGAGGTTTGACCAACACAGGGAAGCTGAGATGAACCAGCAACTATCCCCCGACCCCACCTACTCCCTTGGAGACGTTCCGGCATCACTCGCTGCCCCTATAACCTGTTTCTGTAGATGGCTATCTTCAGGCTGACTGGAAGAGTAGCATATACTGCCTTAGGAAGGTTCATGCTGAGTAGGACTGCCTACAGACCAGGGGGGCAGGGGGCTGCTGAGGCACACCCCGGTCTCAGGCCAATATGCCAAGCTTTGAGCCCCAGGCTCCTGTTCTCTTGCCTCGCTTCCCAGCCAGCTTGCGGGGCTGGGGGACACGTTCCTACCTGGAATCCGTAGAGGCAGATCACACACTGGCCATGAGGAATGTTGTTGTCAGTGAGAATCTCCTTCCCCTTGGGCACACCGCACACCCCGGTCACAATGCCAAGCTTTGAGCCCCAGGCTCCTGTTCTCTTGCCTCGCTTCCCAGCCAGCTTGCGGGGCTGGGGGACACGTTCCTACCTGGAATCCGTAGAGGCAGATCACACACTGGCCATGAGGAATGTTGTTGTCAGTGAGAATCTCCTTCCCCTTCTGCGGGAGCATTAAAGCAAACATTTTGCTCACTGGCCTGCCCGTGGGCACAGGGCCATCCCACCCCTCGGGCAGTCAGGGACCAGTGTCCATGGCTGGTGACCCCCAGTCTCCCCCAACTCTCACCTCAATCAGTTCGTAGAGCACCTCTGTCCCCAGCCTGGCTTCAGCAACACTTCTGAGGGTCTGGGATATCCTACAGCAAAGCAGCAGAAATACTTAACACAAGTTTAGCCATGCCTTTTCACTCTCCCACATACCTGTCACCCCACCACAATGACAGGAGGAAGAAACAGAGCACTGGCCTTCAGGCTTTGCCTGCAGCATGGGATGGGCACATGTGCACACACATATTCACGTGCTCCCCACAAGCCAGTGCACAGGAAGCCTTTGTCGTCAGAGGACTTGCAAGAGCAGGTCTGCATGGCTCCTTGGCTTGAGCTCACCCAGCACCCTTCAGTTTTGGTGAACCTCAGGCTTCGTTTGTCTGACAGCAGCCCCCGAGCAGGTCTGGTGGGAGCCACGTTACTCCTATGCTGTCGGCAGGTACCAGGGTCTCTCTGCACACACTCTGCTGCACCAAGGACAGGAGCACAAAGGCAATAAGGGGCTGCCCAAGGACTCGGCTCAGTCCCACCTCTGTCAAAGCAGGACCAACAGCTTCAAAGGCCCAGGGGATTTAGATTGCAATTCAGAGGGACCACAGGGGAACAAGCACAGGGCAGACCCCTCGGTGCCAAATTCGGCACCAGCGGCTCCCATGAGATTTAAGACAAGGTGATTTAGGGACCTGTATCCATCCATTAACTGGACACGGGGAGCCACATGAATTTGAGAGAAGGCTTTTCCACCAGTTCTGCCTCCCGGATCTCCGGAGGAAAGGATCGCCCTCTCCCCTCCCTCCCGGCACTCACTTTTGAATTTGCTCATCTGACAGCCCCCGTGGGTTCCTGATCGAGATTTCCGGAGCTTTGTTGGGATACTAGGAAAAAAAAAAGAAAAAGAAACACCCAAAGCACAACAAGGAAGGCAGAGAAGCCCGGGGCAGGGAGGAAAGA